CATGTTGCCACCATGCACCGCTAATTTTTCTATATGTATAGTTGGCCAATTAATTTCTTTTATAGTAGAGATGGGTCTGCTCTTGCTCAGGCTGGTTTCGAACTCCTACCTCGAGCAATCCGCCCACCTTGGCCTCCCAGAGCGCTAGGATTACAGGCGTGAGCCACGCGCCTGGCCAAGCCTAGTATTTTTAAATTTAGAAAAAAAACAAAGATAAAAGTCCTAAAGGTTTCTTCTTGGGCCATAGATCTTGGTGGGTATGCATACTCCCCCCGTCAGAGACCACTGCCCTAAACAGCAAAGTCTAGCCCTCATCCATGCTCTGTTGAGGCCACTATAATAAACATGTAGTTTTTAGGTCACTCCTTTGGCTCTTTTGCATTCACATCCTTGCAAGCACAAAAAGTGCTTCCTGAGCACTTAATGTAGGTCAACTATTGTGCCAGATGCCACAAGGAATGTAAGAAATAGGAACCCAGCAACTACTAGTTGGAGAACTCAAAGTCTAGTTGGAACACAGGACTTCAGATTTCAACTTGGTCATATAATTGAGTTTTTAATTGAAGGAACACCCTGTAAGTACCTAAAGGATCTTTCTATCATTCACTCAATCAACACATCCTAAGCATCCACGTTGTGTAGAATAGTTCTAGATGCTGGGGAGATGAAAAGGTGAGAAAGATATAGTCCTTGATCTCTTGAAGCTTTTAGCTGAGCAGAGGAGATGAGGCATAGTGAATGATTGGGCACCCAAAAAAGTATTAAGCACTTCACTGGAGGGACAGCACATCACAAAATGAGGGTAATGGTAGGTTTCATGAGAAGGGGACATGCCTAAAAGTTGGAAGGATTTGGTATGTGAAGCAGGAACATGAACCCTGACAGGCTAAGTAACAGCTACTTGGCTTATATGTTGGAGGGACAGTGAGCAGGGTCATCGCTGAGAGAATAGCCAGAAAGACCCACACTGGGGGAGCAAAGGCAGAATCAAGTCTAGTGTCTAGGACATCAATGGGTAGATCCTGGCCCTAAGGAAAGGTCTTTACATTCTTTGGCCTTAAAATATTGCTTGCACCCATAGCCAACATCATACTGAATGGGAAAAATTGAAATCATTCCCACTTAGAACTGGAACCAGACAAGGCTCCCACTATCTCCTTCTGTTCAACATAGTGTGGAAGTCTTGGCTACAGCAATCAGACAGGAAAATGGAATCAAAGGTATCCAAATAGGGGCAGAAGAGATCAAACTTTCACTGTTTGCTGATGATATGATATTGTATCTAGAAAACCCCAAAGATTCAACCAAGAAACTCCTGGAACTGATCAATGAATTTAGTAAAGTCTCAGGATACAAAATCAATACACAGAAATCAGAGGCATTCATATACGCCAACAACAATCTAATTGAGAACAAATCAAAGACTCAATTCCTTCACAATAGCAACAAAGAAATTAAAGTACCTAGAATATACTTAACCAAGGACGTAAAAGACCTCTACAGGGAGAACTATGAAACACTGAGGAAGGAAATAGCAGAGGATGTAAACAGATGGAAATCCATACCATGCTCGTGGATCGGCAGACTCAATATCATCAAAATGTCTATACTACCCAAACTGATCTACAGATTCAATGCAATACCTATTAAATCCCATCAGCATACTTCACAGATATAGAAAAATAATTTTACGCTTCGTATGGAACAATAGAAGACCCCTAATATGAAGAGCAATTCTAGGAACAAAAAAAAAATGGGAGCATTAATATGCCAGATATCAAACTATACTACAAAGCTGTAGTAATTAAATCAATATGGTATTGGCACAAAATAGGAATATTGACCAGTGGAACAGATGTGAGATCTGATATAAACCATCCTCATATAGCCATCTAATCTTGACAAAGCAGACAAAAACATACGCTGGGGAAAGAATCCCTCTTCAATAAATGGTGCTGGGAAACTGGATA